ATTATATATTATATATATATAAGTCATCCTTTGACTCAAAAAGCCACATCAGTTTGTACACACCAGCAGGTCAGTGGTCTGAACTCCAAGGCTTTGCCTTACTAAAGCACAGGAACATTGTCCAAAAAGGCAGCAAATAGACTTCGTTAGGTGCAAAGCACTTGAGAGACCTTCTTGGTTAGGACACTGGAGGTACATGTACTAATTAAACCTCACTTTTATAGCCTCTGGCAGGCTCCAGTTTCTCTCCTGAGCAATTACAGCTTCACTGAGATTTCCAGTAAAGGAAAATGACAACCGTTTAATCGAATTGAGCACAAAGTATGGCTTCAGCTAGTGCAAAACCAAGCTGACGATGGTAGGCAGACAGAGTAGCTAGCAGGAAAGCCTAGGGAAACCTCAGATTAGAACTTCAAAGGCAGCTTTCTCCCTTTAAAAGACAATACAAAAGAGATGGGAAGACTCTCCCCATAAGCTAGGCATCGCTGTGTTCAGGCGCCCGGGCAGTAGATGTCTGACTGGAGGACAGGGCATGACTTGTTCCTCTTAAAAGACTTTGTTACAGTCAGATGAGGATTCCCTAAGGCCTGATATCAGGCAGGATTTCCACGCATCATTGCCATCTGATCTGATTCTTGCTCAGTTCAGGACATGCCTGACTGCTTCAGAAAGAAAGAACCCAGATGTGTTCCCAGACTGTTACTGAAATGAAGAATCTACGTAATTGGAATTTTTTTGCTTCAGCCAGCAGGTCGTTGGGTTTGGAGCTGGTTTTGTCCGTATCTTCAGAATACCTTAATGTTCTAAGAGCAGTTTTTAATTGTTTTGCTGCTTTTGTTCTTACATACTCCTGAATCACACTTGCTTACCAAAGAATCACTGACATAATTGTGATAGTCAGGATATTTCGGGTTCTCATCAGATCCAAAATGGTGTACGTCTGCTGCTTCTGGGAATTCAAGTCTTGCAGCTGGAAAAAAACCCAAACAAATCAACCAACCATGAGAACATTAACTTCCTGCAAGCAGAATTATTGTGAAAATAAGTCTCCCCCAACATATACATCAGTATTTTCATGCGCTGCAGAGCTGAAACTGGTGCCTCACTTTTAACCAAGCATGTATGAGCCTTAAGAGCCAACTATCTGCTCCTCTCTAATTTAAAGTCACTTAAAATATAGGCTGAAATTAGTAATCATTTTCTCTGCCTGCTTATTGTTACTTTTAGACTTGAATGATAAAGCAACAGCATTAATTCATGATTTATATGTCATTACTGGTGGGTTCTTACATCCAGCTTTGAGCACTACACCTTAAGGATCACGCAAACCAACTGCACCCAGGCAAGAAGAGAGCAGCAAGGCAGATGAGACATTTGAAAAACATCATCTGTAGAAGTAGAGGGTTTATTTAGCCTAAGGGCCAGAGGACCAAGGGCATCTTAAAAGATCAAGAATGGTCTTCTAAGACCAGCAAAAAAAAAGTGATAAACTGTCCTCTACGTCTACTGCAGGCAAGGCAAGAAATAACAAGATTAAACTGCAGCAGGACAGATTTAGTGAATGGCTCCTCATGCTGGACCTAACAGCAATGTACTTAAACTGAGACAAACTGGCTCATGAGCTGAAGAGCTCCCCCATCACTATCCAGCCTGCTTTTGAGATCTTCTAAGAATATAAGCAGAAAGACAACAAACTTCTTTCCCCACGAAACTTTCCAGCTCCTCAAAATAAAACCACGTCCATGTAAACAGTGCAAAGATATTCATCCCTGAAGCATGCAAACTAGTTTCATGCTTGGTAAGACTGTAAAAAGGGAAATTTTTTTTCTTTTTTTCATTTAGGACTTTAATTTAGACCCCTAACGAGGAGTAACAAGGCAGAGATTTTTCAAAATATTTAAAAGGTGATTTAAGAGGACAAGTCCCATTGATTAAAACTATCAATCCTGGTAAAGCAACACTGTGGCTGAAGAACCAGTTTTCTAGACGGGTCATATTTTTGTTACTGCAAGAGATGGTATGTTTTCAGGCTTTATCACAGGCTACTTACTCATTGATTTAATGGTACTTTTAACAGTGTTTTAACAGTGTTACAGTAAGAACATTAATAATATTTTGATCTTACACTCTTCCACAGAAGATTCTTTTTTCTGTTAGTTCACATTACATCTGAGTCTGCAACTCTATCAACAGTTAGAAATCTAACCAAGAAAAAAACAAGCACCCACCTTAGCAGCTCAGAATTATCAAATGAAAAAAAGGTAATACTGCAATATTTTTCGTTTTGACATTTTTTGAATTGTAAGCTGCCAAGACACCTCACAATATTTAAGTGAAGACTTCTCTTTCCACAACTAGAAGAACCACTCTTGCCTGACAGACCTCTCCCACGTGCAAGCACAATAAACTATGCAAAGGTTACTTGCTCCCTTGATTTTTTAAGTCAGCGTGACCTGAGAACGACGTATTAAGTTTCAAAACGTTTAAAGACTGAATGCCTTTTATTGGCACTGCGTACTCCTTCATGGTACGTGCAAATGGTTACCAATAAAAAACTGTAACTTCAGAATAGTGCAATTACTCCTTTCTGAACTCTTTCCACCTGGTCTAATATACCATCCTCTACTCTATATTCGTTCAATTTGGAATACTTTCTTCCCCTAAAATATCAGGCTGGTCCAGCAGAAGTAGCTGGATGCATTGCAGGACACAACACAACACTGAAGAGACAAAAGCAACCATTAATTAAACTTAATTCCTCATCAGCCTCTCTTCCATATTCAGTTAGTGATGTTTCTCTTGGCAAGCTCGTTGCTGGACACTCATTTGGGGCCCCTTAACTCTTGTCTCTCAACTCAAAATATACATTATCTCCTCAATGTCTTGTGAACTGAGGGATATTTTGTCCTAAGGACCTGGAGGATAAAATAGCAGTCTGATGCTCGTGCACACCAAACTTCAGTGTATTTGCTTCCATACATCTTCGTTTTCTACGAAAGGCAAGCAGTTCTCCAGAGCCGACAGCCTTCATCCTGCCTGAAGCCAAACCTCCCACCACGGAGCTGCAGTCAGCTTTACAGCTCCCAGCCCTTTCTCATAAATCACATGATCTTTTTTAAGTACGCTCCAGTTCTGCCACTATTCATTGCCAAGAAACCAGCAAAGGGGAAACAAAAAAAAAAAAAAGGAAAAAAACCAAAACAAACCACAAAACAAAGCCAGGAACAGTAATACTCAGGGTCACAGCTGATGAGAAAAAAGGACTCTTCCTTTTAGGAGCTGGATAAGCAGACAACATAATCCTTAATAGGACAGGCTATAACATGAAGCTATGAAGGCAAGGAGGGTAAAACAATGATTTGAAGTTAAATCTATCATCCAAACATTTCTATCGCCCTCATATGGGATAATTCAGCCAAGCAGGCTCTGTTCGTGCTCCGCACCTTGTTTGCAACTAGTCACCTGCTGGATCCTAAGTGGTTTTGAAATCTTTGGAGCCCAAGTATTGCAGGTGCTGCTCTCCAGCTGCACAGGTTCAAGGAATACTCCAAACATGAGCTGAGGTTGCTCCTCCATCCAGAACTCACGTTCCAGTCACACGAGGGCTAAGGGTCAGATTTCTGCGAACCTCTCTGCAGCATAAATGTGCTTCCTACAAGCTCAAGAGAGGCTGCAAACCTTCTGCTTTACAGCTCTTCAGAAAGCAGAGTGTGGACAGACTGCTGATGAAGAAAAGTTTTGTAGATTTTTTTGGTCACGGCACTACTTTTACCTTAAAAAGTAAAAAGATGGACCGGAGTTCTGCATTTCAACAGTGCCTGTTCATCGAGCTCATTTTCCTTTCAGTGTCAGCATGTTAATCTGCGTTTCTGAAAGTTGATGTGCAACGATTTATCTGTAAAGAAGCAGGGTGTACCCCAGCCCACGCTGCTCCAGAAGTCAGCATTTCCCCGGGGCAACATCCCTACTCTTGCCCTCGCCTTCTGCTGCTTCGTCATCCAGCCCCGTTCAGAGATGGCAAACAGATCAGTGTTTCTTTCTAAGAACAGGAGATGGAGGATTCCAGGGACAGTGACCTCAAGCAGATGTTGGAGCCAGAGCTTAGTTTTCGTTCTCCTACTGTACTGCTGGCAATGGACGAGTTTTCAGGCCTATAGCATAAGAAGGAAGGAGGGGGGAAAAAAAAATAAAAAAAGGAAAAAAAGCATGTTCTAACAAAAATCCAGGGAAAAAGCTGTCATAAGAAGGCCTGGGTTTTCCTGGCATTCTCACTCTCTTCCAGCAAGACCAGGATGTCTGTCCTGCTATCTAGAAATAAGTCTGGACAAACAGGTTTGTTTGCACCTCAGCTAACTTCAACCCCAGGGAAGCTGTTTCAATCCCAATAGCAAACACACCATGGTTTAATGGCTCACCCTCTTCCTTAGTCTGGTACAGGGGCCTTGTAAAGCAAGTGAATATACACGGTATTTTCACTTCAACCACAAGACAATGTCAATTGTCAACCAGAACACAATTAGGCAACTGCCCAGACAGATTCTACAGATCTCCCTAGAAAGCTGCCCACTCTCCTGGATTATGCAAACAGTTTGTCTATCTGACTTCTGGAGGTCATGTCTGAACAAGTGTGGAACTGCTTTGACATCTTAAGGTCACCAGCAGCTCAGAAAAACGGGATTGCTTAGAGGAAACAAGAACATGTTGAAAGAAATGGATAGAGAAGAAAACATACTGCTAGTTACTCCACCTGAAAGGAGCTCAAGTTTTGCTCTCCTTAATGTGGAGTAGAAATTGGGGTTGAACATGGAATTGAACTAGAACGACATTCTTTCCACTGCCACTGGCCAGGATTAGTCCTATGTTAGGATTTTTATAGAAGTCTTAGACTGCAAAAGCATAATGTCTGTTCAGCACAAGCATTTAGAACACAAAGTGACAGGTACCTCGAATCCATTACCTTCCTGCAAAACCTACAGTTTAAGAGCAAAAAGGTGGCTGTAAACCAGATCAAAAAGACGTCTGCATTAGAATGCACGTTGGCATTCCCATGGGAATGGGACAGCCAGGGCTTTGAAAATCTTAATGAAGTGGGGAAAGGTAGTTTGCTTTTCAGGAAAAGGATGATCTTTTACCCATTGGAGAAGCATGTAACACACTGCAGGCATAACTCCATTCATATGTCTGGAAATTAATCCCTTTACATGGTCATTAACAGGTCCAAGCAAATAACTGGATTGCTGAATGAAATCTTACCTCACTAGGGTCAAATATTACATCTGGGGCTGTAACACCATTAGTTTTTGCAGCCTTTCGGATGATGTCTTCTGCCTCTTGAAATCTCCCCTGGGAGATGAGCCACCGCGGAGATTCTGGAATGATCCTGCAGAAAAGGTTCAGAACAACAAACCTGCATTTCCACAGAAAGCACTGCTGCACGCACCAATACACATTATTGCAGACATGAAGATCTCAAAACTTGCCACATCTTGCAGAAACTAGAGCAATGACAACAGAAATCGGGCTGACAAGAGCAGACTGGCACACTGAACAAGAATAGACTACAATGTGTCTGTGGATTTTAGAAGTACTAAAGAAATAAAGAATGACTCGCAAAAAAGAGCAACCAAAACCCTCAAAGAATGGGGAAACAGTTTGATTAAAGAAATTCAGAAATGTGAATACACAGCAGCATGCTGTACATTAAGAGGCATATCCTTAAGAGAATAACAAATATAAAATTAGTAACTGTAAATACCATCATACAAAGGCAAGTCAGAAAGAAGAATTTGCCTGAGTCATTCAACTTTGTAAGAAATAGGATGGAACCACAAACATAAATGCCAGTGTAAGTGAAGAAACACCACCACCGTGTGGACTATTTAAACTTTACATGCCACTTAAAGTAGTATTTCATTAACTACGGATGGGAACAGGGAAGTCTCACAGATGAGCAAGTACTGTTTTGTAGCTTGTTATATCTCTGTTACCCTAGTGCTGCCCAGCTTCCCAAAACAACTGCTTTCTCATCCTGCCCTTAGTTCAGGGCTACTCGTCAAAGCTCATGGATTTCCGTTGGTGCAGAAGGATGAGTTTTACTGACTTGGTTTTTTGCATCACTTAATTTTATAGAAGCCTACAGAAAATGAAGCACAGGCTTTCCAGGCACGAGTCAGGTCACCCACAAAGCTTACAGACTTACAGCTGAACGACTGGGAAGAGTAAAGGACACAACATCCCTTCTTCACCTGCCCATTTCCCAATTCCACTGGTACAGGCTTGTTGGCTCAGGACTCTGGATCTTAAAAAACTGCAGACAGGACTTTCTGAAGACTGAAGTCTTGTAAATTAGTTACACTCACCACCAGAGCGGGACGAAGAGCAGCCCCGGGACGGTGAGCGCCAGCAGCAGCATCCGCCAGTCTCTGATGAAGAAAGCAAACAGTGGCAGCAGCATGTAGCCAAACGCGTAAAATATGCAAACGCCCAGAGTGCAGAACAGCACGCGAATCGATTTGCCAAGGATTTCTGTGCCTGTTCAAAACAACAGAGGGAAGATTAGTGTTTTAACTTAATAGCAACCGAGTTAACTCACCAAAAATACCTCTACTGATTGGCTTGGAAATACACTGCACGGCGTAGTTACGGAGTGCTCTGCCATCCAATTTTAGAGGCACCACAGATCTGCTCCGTGCAGTGATCCTGCATCGACCCAGGTAAATATAAAAGGAAGAGAACCAGGCCATACAGTATTTCTGTAGCTCAAAGTAGCTAAAACTTCTATAATCCTATGTTCTTAGAATCTCACGTTTTACTTGAGGAGCTAAAACCCCCTGACATACTACAAAACATTCATGACACTTAACACTCACGTTGATCTCTAGAGGGTCCTCTCCAGCTTATGGCAAGAGACCATCTTCTTTATTCAGAGACACCTAAATTAGGTTCCTGACCTGTATCACCTTCTAAAGGACTATTTTGCTATTAGCCAAAAATCTTGCAGTGTTTTGGCATACACACGTGGAGGGTCACTAAGAAAGGCCAGGCTACTCATAGTGGAATTAATGCACTAACAAGGACCAATGCTTCCCTCTGAAATGCTTTAGGTCCTGGAAAAATCAAGAGATGTTGTAAGAGATACAATCTTCCTCATTTCCACAAAAATTAAAGATTACAGAAGTTGCAGCAGGAAGCATGCAGTGAGGTTGGCCAAACACTTGTAAGAGATACAATCTTCCTCATTTCCACAGAAATTAAAGATTACAGAAGTTGCAGCAGGATGCATGCAGTGAGGTTGGCCAAACATTGTTTCACAGCTGCAGTGCTCTTCTTTGGCCCAAAAGGCATTTCTTGCCAACATTTGGTACTTTGGACAATGAGGCCACTGTAAATCATATTAATTTAAAAAAAAACCTATTTTTTAAAAAAATCCCAGATTCATAAGGTAATTCACATTCCCATCTGATCAAATACAGTCTTAGTTAAATTGAAAATATACCAAGCAGGAATCATTATGCCATTTAATTTTTTACTATAGGCTGTTTTAAGGAGACTTTGTAACACTTACTTGATTTTTTTTCCTCTTTCACAAGTTTTTACATCAAATAGGCACTTAGGCCCCAAAATGACAACACAAATCCCTGAAAAATCATGTCTTATCTTTCCAAGTGGAAGACAGATTTGGTTTCGAATAATCAATTTCTTTTTTTTTTTTTTTACCTTTCTAGGATGGTAAGCCACAGACCTAATCCAGATTGCACTTCTATCAACTGGAAACTTCCAAGGAGATCATGAGTTATCCATGGGTGGTGAGTACACACTCTTAACACCATTGCTTGGCAAAACAAATCAACCCTAAGACAGTACTGAAAAGGAGCAGGAAAAGCACAAGACTAAAGAATACATGCTGTGCCCAGCAGGACTTGCATACCAAGAACAAACGCTGCCACGTAGTTAGATATCTGTCCCATGCCGACCAGCACAAAGAACACTGAAAACATCTCCCAGCTGGTAGAGAAGATCTGTAGGAAGCTGAAGCCAGTCTGCATTGCCAGAGTTGCAAACAGCACATTCTTCCTGCCAAACCTTCCATGGATAGATTAAAAAAAAAAAAAAAAAAAAAGAGATGATTATTCAACAGCATGAGCAACATCTTCACCAACAGAAAAATAAGATTACTCGAATGCATACTTAGGGAGACACAAAAGCAGAGGTTCAGGAAACACGACACAGGGACGACTATTCTAAATACATTAAAAAAAAATCCACTGGTCAAGAGAAAATAATATTCCAAGGGCTGCTAGTGAAGTTGCCTTTAAATATGTGCTGGAATGTCATTCCCTTCTTACTGATAGGATGAGCCGGGAGACAGATACACGGCAGCAAACTACGTAAAATGCAAGAGCATTAGATGCTCCTTCTCCTCTACGGAGCAGACAGCTCATGACATAGATCAGTGAGTTCAGAAAAGAAACAAAAAAACCTTCTGAAAAGAGAGGTAAAACTCAGGTTTGTAAGATACCATTATCAGTAGGGGATCCCGTGCTGCAATCTTCATTCCACTTGGTAAAACAATGAACCAATTGAAGGGATTCTAACGATTTTACTGATGAAGTACTAAAAAAAATAAAAATTAAACTACACCCAACCCATCAAGCTGTTCTAAGTCAGTGCCAACGTTCCTCCACACCGTTCTGGCACCAGAACAGCTCCTGCTTCACCTGCCAGTTAGCCACCATGGAAGACACTCGGTGCCCTCGTAGCAGGTAAGGGGCTGGGAGCTCTGTTGAACGAAGCACCCAAGTTCAGCAGCAGCACCAGGATGAAGTGGTGAAGATGAGAAATTGCCCCTCACATGGAAGAGACACCCAAGTTCAGCAGCAGCACCAGGATGAAGCGGTGAAGATGGGGAAATTGCCCCTCACATGGGAGAGCAGCTGGGATCTGCTTGGAAAAATCCCATGGAACATAGCTCTCGAGAGAAGTCCAGGAGAGCTGGTTGATTTTCAAGGATCTTTGTCTCCAAGCTCAAGATTGGCCCAACCTCATAAGTAGGAAACCACTCAAAGGCCCTGAATGGATGCTACGAGGTTTGTGGCATAGGGACTGCGTTTCAAAGAAACAGAAACTTGACAAGTAAATCAGCAAATTACAGGCCACATACTGTTCTCTGGGAATCAGGAAGACAGCACAGCAAATCTCAGGGAGATAATCAGAAAAACTCAGCTTTAAAAGAAATAAAAAATAAAAATCACAAAAATGCATGGTGTCTTCCATTTTCAAGAAAGCCAGCATACTCTGGGACTAGAAATGCCGAAAAAATAAATTCTTTTTAAACAAATCCCCAAACAAGAAAGTTTGGCTTCTCTGGAGTACAGCTGAACAGCATTCATGCTCTGCAGCTTCCACCAACACAGGTCACAGGACTTAGATGCTGCATTTGATGAGGAGGAAGAGAAGCTATGGGTGTTAAAGAGAATTTGAAGTTTGACCTCAAAAAAGGAAAACAAGCCTCAGGGAAGTGTCTGAACATAGTCCAAAGTAATTAGAAGAGAATGTAATTGATCTGATTTTTTCCAGATGAAACTTATCTCCTACACTTGTTTTCTGGCATAAAAACAGTTTGCTCCAGAATTGATTTTGAAAAAAAAAAACAAAAACAAAACCAAACAGGGAGCGATAACACCCACTAACAATCTTTGTTACAGTCTGTTCTACTTCAGGACGTTCACTCTATACAATCTGTGCACGTTCAGATGAGACATGCACAGAACAAAGACGTGTTAGTAGTTGTAGAAAGGCACTTAGAGCAAACTTCACGCCCAAGAATTGCTTACAGAACAGCATCAAAGAGCCAGCAGCTCTGGTGTAGATACTTTACTTGTCTGAGAGCTGTCCTGATATGAAAGATCCAAGCAGGACACCCACGAAGAACAGGGAGGTGCTCAGGGGTCCCTTCCAGTCGTTGTCGCATACGAGATTCCACTGTAGGGAGAGAGAACATGAAAATCTTCTAATAAACAGGATTTCCCCTCCCTCTTTCTCAACGCCTTGGCTGAGCCCAGATGAAAACGTACCCTTTGGACAGAAAAACTCCACAAGAGAAATGAGTAACAAACCTACTGCACAGGTGGAGCTCCATGAAAACAGCGGTGTCGTGGTTTAACTCTCCCCCACCCCCCGGGGGAATGGGGAAGAGAATTAAAGGGAAGGAGACTCATGGGTTGAGATAAGAACAATATAATAATGATAATAATATAAAATTAAAAACTAATACTGGTAAAATAATATACAAATAGATATAAATATAATATGATAAACATATATACAAACAAGTGATGCACGGTATAATTGCTCACCACCCGTTGACCAACACATGTCCCATCCTGGCAAGTGATCCCAAAATACGTAAGTCCTGATATCACAACTCCAGATTAATGGGGGGAGGGGAGAGAGAGAGAACTCTGACAGGCCGAGAGAGTCCCACAGAAGATAATTCCAAACTTCCCAGTCTACCCTCATCTCTATACTGGGCATGACAGTGCATGACATGGAATACTCCATTGGCCAATTTGCCCCTCAATCCTAAGCCTGAATTCAAATCCTAAGGGGAGCTGGGGGCCCGCTGTCCTGGCCATTCCCCCCCCAGCCTGTTGTGCTCCTGCACACCGGCAGAACACGGGAAGCTGAAAGGTCCTTGATGTCTCAGCACCTACTAGGACCATCAGTGCGCTGCCAACATTCTTCTTGTAACAAATCCTGAACTAAATCCCAAACACAGAGCTCGCCTGGCTGCTACAAAGAACAACTAACTCTGTTCCAGCAGAAACCAGGACAAGTGGGAAGGGATGCCGGGCAGCAGAGGGCAAAGGCCACCCATCCTGAACAATCTTGGGAGCAATCCAGAGCCCCAACGGTACCTTCAGGCTTTCTTTCTTTCTTCAGCTGTGGTATGTGCCCTACACACCTATGAGTGACAGTAACTAATAATTTCATCATGCACTTGGTTCAACTCCCTTTCAAAGGCTCTGCAGCTCCTTAAACTGCTCCAGTTCTGCTGGGTTTGGAAGGACTGAGAATAAACCCCAAACTTGATTCTTCATGCATACAGTAAAGTTTGTCATTAAAAATTCACATTTCTAATTTAAGAGAAATTGGACTATGCAAATAAGAATATAGAAAAAAACCCTCCTCCTTTACTACATTTCACTGGTTTTGAGAGCCTGGAGACTGTTCACTGCTTACTGGGAACCTAACTAACGTCAATGCCCCATCCCTGGAAGTGTTCAAGGCCAGGCTGGATGGGGCTTTGAGCAACGTGATCTAGTGGAAGGTGTCCCTGCCCATGGCAGGGGGGTTGGAACTGGATGATTTTGAAGGTCCTTTCCAACCCAAACCATTCTGTGATTCTATGATAATTATAATCTTTGGAATACAAATTGTAATACATACCAAACAAACAAAGATTTCCAAAATGAAAACAAAAAAAAAAAAAAGGAAGAAACCCAAAATATTTATGAAATGAAGAATGTAATAGCTTCCAATCTCCTACCCACTTCGTTCTGATGTTTTTGAAATAAGACTTCTGTTATTTTTGTATCTATATCAATATCTATTATTGAAAGAGTCTCACTTTTATTTTGGTTATCTGGGGCAGAAAAAAAACCCATGTAAATATTAGAAGAAAAGTCAAAACCCAGCAGGGACACCTCTGGGACAGCTCCCACAGGGCACCTTCTGATGTTTTAGGGACGGAAACTTTCTCTTTTTAGTGTCTATTAAAAAGGTTGAAAAGAAAAGAAAACATTCACCCTGACCCCAATAACTAATCCCCCTTGCTCCTCAATTACAAATAATTAAGCATAGTGTGTTTTCCTCTTAGTTTGTTTTTTTTTTTTAATTTCTACTGGAACACCCATCAATGCTTTGATCTGCCCCACAAGAGGCAGAGCTGCCGTGTGTCCCACCTCTGCCATCCACCTTGCCCGTGGTCCTGCCCATGGGAACGCCAGCCTTTGCTTTGCCCACCAAGCCCATCTCCTTGGCATTAAGCCTTCGACTCCAGGAATCTCACAACCCTCAGTCTATTAACGGTTCACGCTACAAATACACCCTGGAGTATGTTTTAAGGCTTGATATAACTTAACCACAGTTCTAAATATAATTTAGATTAATAAGTGTAATTAACATTCATAATTCAGTCTGTATGCATTCAACAGAAGCTTTCCTTCATTACAGACCAAAGAAAGCAGGAGCCATTCTGTGAGGACCACAGAGGCTAATTGAGCCAGGAAGCTTCAGCAAAACCTATCTTGCACCTTGAGCATATCCAGTAAATTATCGTTACTGAATCTAGGCCAAAGGTTTTGGTGGTTTTCATATGCCTTCGTGCTTAGCAGGAACACAAACACCACCCCCAGTACAAATCCTGCATTAATTAAGACTTGCCTACTCACAAAGAATCATCTTCGTACCAGCTACTGGAGCCAGACATCTTCAGTAACACAATTAAAATCTAACTAGCCAAACATCTCGTTTGGTGATTTATAGTCCGTCATTACGAAGTGAGTCATTATTTTCCAGCTGATCACCCTGTGCTTGTGAGCCCCATCTCCTTTCATCCATCTTACACTCTGCCCATTGGCACAAGGCTGCACGACACTTGGCTCTCCAGACACTGGCACGTTTGTGCCCAGTAACAAACCTTTTCTTCTGACCCCTGAGGTAGAGACGTTGCTTGGAAAAGTTCATGGTATTAAAATGTTTTGCACCGTTCTGCCAAAAGCTCCTTGCTTTGCCAGGTGGAAGCATATCAGTCCTTAAAACGTGGCAATGCTCACCAGGTTGTTTTTCTGTCTGCTCTATTAAAGCAACGTTAGGAGCTCTTACGCTGATGCTCACTTGAACCCAGCACCAACGTGAACTTCAATATCAAATTTCCAAGAGAAAACCACCCTGGTTGTGCAATGCCAGTTATTTGCAGACTCTACAGGCGCACAGCAGTCAGAACAAAGGGATTTTAAGGTCTGTTACCCCTTGCCCTGGGGTAAATGAATGCTGAAGTCTTCAACTTTTTAATGACTCACCAACAAGGTCTACTGTATTGCTTGTCAGTGACGGTGGCACCAGTCTTCCAGAACTGTTCTGCAACCGGACCCTTCCCTCAACCGTACATGGCCCAAAAAGAAGTCAACGAAGCATCACTGTTAGAAGACCAGCATGGCAAAGAGCAAGTGTCCCAGGAGCAGTTACTGATTAAATCCTGCTGCTGGCAGTGCTGTTTGGACACAGTACACCGTGACCCACTGCTCTAAAATCATGTGCTATTTTCACTTCCTAGTATCCTTTGAGTCAGCCTGCTAGGTGTAACGGCCTTTGCCCCCCGTGGATGAGATAAGGTTAACCTCAGCAAGGTATCAGGGCTCCAAACAGGAGAAAAACATCCCAGTTTTGTTCAAAGAGCAGCTGCTGATGTTGCGAAGCATCAAGCTCCTAAACGCTGGTACTCAACACTCAAGGCATGGCTGGGGGCATTCTCAATTTTATTATAACTTTAGAAGAGGACATCCTCTGTGGCAGCTTAAACTTATCTTCTTACTCAGACAGCTTGCAGATGTTTTCTGCTGTAGCTACTTCCCAAGCAAGGAATCAGGTTGGGGTGATGCCTTCAGCAGCAGCTTCACACACAGCAGCAATAACCACCTACACGTCAGACACGAGATGCATGGTGAGATACGCACCTCGTAACGGGTTCCTGGCTGATGCCAGCTGCTGGTGAGGACGGGTGGGAAGAAGGGATGGGAAAAAGAGGACAGGCTGTGGAGAAGGCCTGAAAATATGGACAGCTTGGGGGAGAAGGAGGGAGGACACCACAGGGGGGAGGGATTGAAGCCGTTGCTTCTCAAGCACAGGTTTGGGGTGAGTATGAAACAGTCGTAGGTACTTAACAGTCATCACTTAAGTGTCTCTCTAGGAGAGCACTTTCCAAGTTCTGCTTCATCTCTCACATGGCAAATCAGCTACCTGGAGCCCCATCCCCACTCCCTTGCCATAAGGCAAACCCAGTTACGAAACTGAGAAGAATAAAAAAACCTAAACTACTCCCTCAGACCTCCTCCCTCTCCCAAACACAAGACCCTCCTCAGCCACGTTTTATTATCTTCCAGCCTTTTAGCACAACACAACCTGAACAAGAAGGATGATTGCAGGTTTAGCTAGAATTACAGTAAGGAGCATGCATAGAAGTATGTGCTTAGTGCCAGCGAAGTGTCAGTCTTGCTAGACTGGTATTTCCTGAACTGTCTTACACTTTCCAGTATTAAACTGAATATTAATATAATACCTCTATCCAAAAAGAAAACTACCTTATAATTTTCACTGCAATCACAACACAATTCAGATTCCAAGACAAAACATCTGAATTCTTTAAACTGCAAACTGTGGAATAGTTTCATAGCATAAAATAAGAGTATCAAACAGAAATTGCAAGGCAAGTTTAGGCAGACAGGACGGCACGAGCCTGGCTGAAGATACTGCCATACCAGAAGTGAAAAATACGGTTCTTCTAAGTTCTCTATGCACTTCAAAACCTTAAGAGTAGTTTTCCTGCGCACAGGCTGTGCATCCACTGCACTTGCAGAACACCACTTGCCTCGAAAGGAGAGCTGGCACTTCAGGAATCACTAATGTCAAATCCCACAGGGGCTCTCAGCCAGACACCCATGCAGATCCCTTCTCCTGCTTCATTTTCACCCCAGTTTTGTCAGCTGTTACAAGATGGGATAACGGGAATAACAAAACTCTAGCTGCTAATAACGAGATGCCTATCTTATTTGAGCACAAAATTTGCCCATTATTTTTAATTCATCAGAACATGGAAATTGCAAGTCTAATTAGAGGGGAGCTCTTCAAAATGTCAAAAGTTCATGCAATACAGCGTCACAGCAACCAAATACAGACCGTCACCAAATATGTTTGGAAAGTTA